CCTGCTGATAGTGTCATGGCTCATGCTTGGTGACACGGCTCGGTTCGGATTGGACCGGCCAAGGTTGGGTCCCCTTCAACTCAAAAACCTGTCCGGAAAGACACCAGTGCTGGACGTGGGTACCCTTGCCAAGATTAAAAGTGGACACATAAAGGTACTTCCCCTTTTTATCAAATCAACTTCAACTTTTCATCATTCAATAACCCTTCACTTCATCTCTCACAAATTAACAATGTCAAGTGACAACAATAATAAGAGTTTGCTTCATAATCTTCAATTTAAATTGAGTTATATATAAGGAATTTTTATAAAAGTCTTAGTCTGTTTAAATATAAGTTCAGAAGTATTTTTTAGGGTCTTTTTTTTTTACGAAAAAATACTATTTATTTGTTTGTAGTAAAACAACTCTCAAAGAATACTTTTACTTATATCTAAATAGGCTCAATGTAAATCAAAACACTTTCTTTTTTCATACATCGTTTACTTTTGAGTGGGCAAATTCCAATGTTTTGGAATCATCATAAAGATCTTAATTGGGTTACTATGTAATTTAGTGGTTCAGGATGACAATATATTGTGTTGTCTTAACTACTAATTGAATTGAATTAGTATACAATTTGGTCATAGAAAGAAGTAACTATACGGCTGCTTTTGTTCATCTTGGTATAATATGGACTGAATTGAATTGAAATAATATACTTTTGAAGGATCCATATATAACGCGTCATTTTTAAATTGCACATTAACATGTTTTAATTGGATCCCTTAAAGTATCAACTTGCTAATAAGTTTGGGTAATTAACTTTTGAAATGTTATTTAAACACTTTTGAAGAATTAATTTACACAGATGAATACTTTTAGAATTCATAACAGGTAACAGCCCATGTCATTTTTAAGGACTAAAGTGTACATTAACTTACTTTTTCTTTGCGAGTTTATGTAAATCGACCCCTTAAAGTATGATGTTGCTAACAATAAGTTTATGAAATTAACTTATGCATAATTTTATTACTTAAAAGAGAAACTTGAATTGAGAAAAGTTTTAAGGACAAAAAAACACAAACTGTAACTTTGATAGAGACTAGATTGTATATTAACGACCATTCTTTTTCTTGAGCCATTAGAATTTAAATAACGACAAGAAAGTTAGTTTGTAATATATCATAAGATCATATTTCGGTGCCGTCATATATAACCGCAATCCATGGTTTTTTCCTTAAAATTATTGTCAAGTGGCCTTTTTAATTTGCTTTTGGTGAAGCACACAACTTACATATTCACAATGAAATGAAAAGACCCCTACATAAATGTTTTCCGCCTTTGTTTTTTGATTTGCAACATTTTCAATCAAATCAAATCACAAGGTACGTTTTATAACAAAAGCTAATGGACAAAAGAATTATCATTATTATTTCAATCATGTTGTTGGGGAGCGTAATTATTTTCATTAGATTGTTTTGTTTGAACATCTCCACTGAGCATGGCAACACAATATTTTTGGTGCAGGTACGACCAGGCATCAAGCGGTTAAAACGTTATACAGTTGAATTTGTCGATGGAAGAACTGAGAATTTTGATGCTATTATATTGGCAACTGGCTACAAAAGCAATGTGCCCTATTGGTTAAAGGTATATATATATGAATACCATAAATTCCTCCTCTTCCTTTTATTATCTTTACTTCAATCATCTTAACATTATATAAAGGAAATTATTCCAATTTTAGATTTCTATTTTTTTTTATATATAAAAACAACTTCTATACTCTTTTATCGTAGTTTAATATTTTTCACAATCGTACTTTTTAAGTATAAAATGTATAAAGAAAAACATAATGTGTACACAAAAAATCAGCTGGCCATTCCATTAATATCAACTACCCATTAATATTTTTTTTTCTATCAATGGAAGCACAAAGTATTTTTTTTACTGGTTGAAAAATAAAGGAAAGTTATGTTTTCACTATCAAATAAATTTTAAATGATTACTTTGTCTATGCTTAGATAAATTTTTGAAAAAAAATATGTCCAAACAGTTACTGTCACTTAATCATAAATAATAAATATAATAATTTTATTTATTTTTATAAAATATAACAACTAAATTTTACCAAGATCTAAAAAAAACTATCTTTAGAGACATATTAACATTGATTTTTTTTTTTATCGGTTGACAGTGTAAAACTTTTACGCCAAAATTTCATGATTAAATCCTAAATTCTTTTATAAATAGTTAAAAGAAAAGAAAATAAAAATAGGTTATTCTTTTTATTTTAAGTTAAAATCGACTGATGCACTAAATTTTTAAAAAAAATCTCGTATATCTATTTTTTAAAATCTAGGGTGTATAAGTTTATTTTAATTTATGAGAGAAACTGAATCTATTTTGAATTTTTTTTCTGCTTGTAAGCATTTTGAAATAAATATCTAATAAATTTCATAAATTATGAATTTAAAAAACAAGTTATAAAATTATGATTATGCAAACTAAAATTTATATATTTGATCTAATGAATGAAATTGAACGGTTGTGAACGGGTAAAACGCACATGAGAATAAAGAGACTCTATCATGAATTCTGAAAATGATATAAAGCAAGAGAAGAAAACTAACGTGATTATTGGAATGTGCAGGAAGAGGATATGTTCTCTAAGGAAGATGGGTTCCCTACGAAGCCATTTCCAAATGGATGGAAGGGTGAGAATGGTCTTTATGCAGTTGGTTTCACCAAACGTGGCCTAATGGGTACATCCCTTGATGCAAGGAGAATAGCTGAAGACATTGAACGGTGTTGGAAAGCTGAGGCAAAGCATAGTACTGCTTTTTCTCTCTCACTTAATGTGCCACAATCCAATTCATGATCATCAACATGGCTTCATTAATTGGCCAAATTAGAGGTTATAGAGAAGAGATTCATGTTAATTTACACATGAATGGAGATGGGGGTTGATTTTTGTGGTGCCATCACACATGTGCACAATGCAATGCTAGCTAGGGCAATAGCTAGTGCCAAATTAAGAGTGTGTAATGTGTTGTGTTCTCCTCCAATCCATATACAGAAAAGTGGACAAAAAAGAATGGAAATTTTGGTGGGGGAAAATTTCCCATTGTGGTGCCCTTTTGATGGATTCACCTATCAACTTTGAGAATGACATGTTGAATAGAAATTGAAGGAAAGATGGGTGCTAGGGAGGGGCAGTTTTTATTTTTTTTTCTTTCAACCTTGGTTCTCTATACATATTGTACAGTGCAATTTTTTCCCCTTATATATGTAGGTTTGACTTTCTAGAGAGCCAAAGTGACTGAGAAAAGAGGAAGGGGTTGAAGAAGAAACCCTCTAGAGCTAGTGCTTGATATGTGATTGTGGTTTAACCAAATGGATTTTTTATTTTTATTTTTTAAATATAGAATATAGTATGAGATTTTGGTGATCTTTTGATGCCCCTTTGAGACATGAATGTGCTTCATAGGTTCAGGTTTTTTCTTTTGTTATTTTTTGTAACCTTTAAAATAAAGAGAATAGTTAGGAAAGCAAATCTTGCTTGGTTTGGGATGGAGAGGTACTGTGCAAGATCATGTTCCTTGTTTGGTTACTACTTTCCATGCATTTTCGTTATGCAAATGATTTCGGTTCCAAGTGGGAGTTATGAGTTAGGACCACCCTCTAGCTTTTCCATGGAAACTAATTTAAGAATGTGAAATTGAAGACTGCCAAAGTTGCAGGGAATTACAGTCGAATTGTCATTTACATTTATTACTATTCCCCTCTCACACCAACTTCATTAAATTAAGTGTTAACTCGGTTGGTAAGAATTCACTCAAATAAAATGATTATTGGGACTTTTTATACAACAATAATGATGGGATAATTTTATGAATTTTTTAATTAAAACTAGAGTTTCATTTTTATAACTTTTTTTTTTAATTTTAAAAGAATATTTTAAAGATGTCTGTATAATAATAAAAATATATAACTAAATATGGTGTAATGTTTATAACTTACAACATAAAAACATTACACCATATTTAATTATAACTTATTCAATAGCTATAACTTCCCCCTTTACCAAAGTGAGAATGAATCTTTTGTAGTAACTTCATTATTATGAGTAGGAATCTTTTTACTCTAGGAATAAGTCTATCCGTTCAATAACTCATGTTCTATATCAATTTTTAACGATCTAATCGTTTAATTTAAAGTTCTTAATGCGTAGATCAAATCTGTAAATTTTTAGAAAATTTAAAAATCATTTGATACTTCATTTTATTAATTCAAATCAATGTATAAAATGATTTTATGATTATCCGTCAATTTGAATTAATGAAATGAAGTATCAAATGATTTTTAAATTTTCTAAAAATTTGCAGATTTGATCTATGCATTAAAAACTTTAAATTGAACGGTTGGATTGTTGAAATTTGATGTAAAACATGAATTATATATTAAACGGAGTAAGTCTAGATAGACTTACTTCTGGAGTAAAAGGATCTCTCCTCTTATTATATAAGATAAGATATCTTAGTCCACTAATAAATTTAAGGTTTAATTATCCTGTTGATAATTATAATTTTTATCTTTTATATGTTTTTTTATAGTTAAAAATATTATATTTTATTTTTTTATATATTAATTTTTGTTTTCTTTTATTCATTGTTGTCTATAGATAATAAAAGATATAAAATTTATAACTATTAACACTAAAATGAAATCAAATAGTATATATGTATAGAAATTAAAATGAAATATTTTTAATTATAGAAATTTAATGATAAAATTAATAAAACTATAGAGATCAAAAGACTAATTAAACTTATATTTTATTAAAAAAATATGTTTATTTTAGAATTGAGATTTAAAGGAATAGTTGCATAAAAGCTATTACTTTAAACCTACATTTAACTTCTTTTTTTTATAATAACAAATAAAGAAAGAGACAAAAGAAAAAAAGAAATAGAATGAAACCAAAGTGGAAGAAAAATTAAATGTACAAATATAATAATCCATTTATTAATTTTTCACATGAGAGTATCTATTTCCACCAGGGTATGCTTCAGGCATAAAGATAGCAGTGTACAACACAACCCCACCTGTTAAGTGGTAGTGGAGAAAAATTGTACGGATTAATCTGTAGCTAGTGATCAGTGGCGACTTATTTGATTTCAAATGTTTATGTAATGCTAATAATAATATATAAGAAAAAATGAAAACTATATATGTATATATATATATATATATATATATATATATATATATAGCAGCATTAGTATGTTGTGAACATAAATCATGTGTCAAATTAACTGTCAATTCTGAGATTGCGGAATCGACGATGTATGATGGTGTCTATCCCTTTTATAGGACATGTTGACACAACCCAAAAATGTGTTTCTCATATAAGCCAGCCACCGTTAATTTTCAGGGCCCAACTTCTGTTTTACCACAAATTTTGCATAACTCAATTGTCATTTCAATATATGACCCACTCTTCCAAAACTTTTTCTTTTCTTTTCTTTTCTTTTATCTCTTTCATCGCCTTCAAATAAGAATTACCCTCCATGGATGAAAAAAAAAAAAAAAACTTTTGTTTAGGGGAGAAAAAATAAGTACAGAAAAGAAATAGATAAAAAAAATAATAAAGTAATTGTTTTTGGTTAAAAGAAAAAAGAGAGATATCTTAAGAAGTGAAATTGGAGTTTAACTCAATTTTAAAAAATCGGTTTGTAAGATAACGTTTATTCTCTACTTATATATTTTATATTGTTCTTATCATAAAATTAGACATTTATGAGTGGTTGGTTAAAAAATAATTAATTATTGGGATAATTTTTGATATCATATTAAAAAGTTAATTATTAACCTTATTAAATTAGTTTGTAAAGTGAGGATTATTCTTCACTTATATACATTATATTGACCATACCACTAATCAATGTGACAATCTCTGTAACATCCTATTTTTAAATAAATAATAATTGAATTAGAATAATTAAAAAAAATATGAGGAATATTTTATTAATAAAAATAAAAGGGGAAGAGCTCATCAAAAGATTTTGGGCTAGACTCTAGTCCAATTTGGAGACTAATTCAAAAGAGGAAATAGAAAGGGGGTTAGGTCATTTTATGTTTATTTTGAAAACTTAGAGTACGTGTAGGAGAAGACTTAGAGAAGACCACTAAGGGAAACACATATTAGCGACAGGAGCTATTAGAAGAACATTGTTCCATGAGATCTTCATTCTAGGTAGGGGAGTGAGATTATCCATTCCTTGGGCATATGAGAGATAAGGGTAGAGGAACAATTCCTAAGCCCAAAAGTTGTATGTTAAGGCGTATTGTGTTTATGAATGCAATTGTGATTTTGTTGATACTCTATTTATGAATTAGTATGATGTTCTGTTCTATGTAAATGGATGATGAGTGTGTGCCTTTAAAAGTTAGTGTTATCTATGCATGAATTGAGAAAACACTGCTACAGTAATAACAATTTACATCGGTTCTTTTGACTATTCTACATCGGTTTTAAAACCGATGTAGTTACAGATGACGTAGAATGTGTAAGATATTCTACATCGGTTCTTGAACCGATGTAGAAAGTGAGCAAAACTACATCGGGTCTTTTATCACCCGATGTAAAATGTTGAGAAATATTACATAACCTGATCAATGGTAACGTGGTTGAAGTACTTTTTTTTTTATCAAAATTACTTTTAGCAGGCTTTAATATGTGATAGCAAGCTTTTTATGCTTTTTTATTATATAAAACCATTTTTCCATCATTATTAATTAATTCATCTAATATATCATTAGTTTCTTTATTTACATCGTGGAAACTATGCAATTTATGCAACAATTATTACTGAATATTAAGAATCTAAATCCAAAATTAACCATAAAAAGACAAGTACATGGCAATGATTTTGATTAAGTTACGAGTTTATGAACATTCAAGTTTTGGCACACGTCAAATAAGTCCTCAAATGGGAAAAATTACAACCTAACTAGAATAGAAAAAGAATGGAACCAAACATTAGAACCCCTGGAAAGTCACAAAGCATGCCACCAAGAAACCCACAAAGCATGCCTCCAAGATTTCTACTAGAAGATGATTGTTCTTCCCTTTGAAACCAATTAAAGATCCTTTGCAGCTTCTTCCCATTGACCAAGCATTGCTCATGCCATGCCACGTGACTTGTATCCTTTAGTAGAATCAGGATTAATCTGGGTAAAAAATATAAAATCAAAAAGTAGAAGTAGAGGGCTATACAATACAATTTTATAAGGAGAGGATTCAACATATACGAGATTGACAACCTAAAGAATTATGTAAGGAAAATATTTAGTTTAACAAATACAATTAAAAATTATATTTTGCCTTCTATTTTATCATATGTGACGATGTGAAAATTTCAACTATGCTCACCACGCAATTAGTATTTCACGTCAAGGGTATAAAACTGTAGCATTTTATCATATTAACCAAGAATACCTAAATGAAAAATAAGGATCACATACATTCGCAAAGAGTTACAAAATACAATGAAACTTGTAATAAATGGTCAAATATAATTGCTTTCTAATTCCCACTATTTAATTGCAATGTGAAAATATCTTATAGAGCATATGTTGAATAAGGAGACTTACATCATTATCATAATAGTTTGCTAGTGTTGTGAACAATTTCTCTGTCTCACACCTAATGATAGACAAAAAAATTATTAGTTGCCTCGTGAGGCACTTTGTGAATAATAGATGGAGAAGTTGAAACTTACATGGTGTAGATTAGAAGAAAAAGAAATTGAGAATCTTGATTCTTTACATTTCTGATTAAATGTCCCTTCTCTGTGATGTCCCCACTTTGTAATGCATGTGTTGATAAGTGAATAATTTCACAGGTTCTGCAACACATATCTTCCACGACATGGGCGTCAAAGCAGTTTTCCTATGGTAACAAACAAAACCAAATTATAAAATTCATATTCAAAGGTTTAATAAGGGCACTAACAAGATTAATTATTATACATAAGTAGTACTTGCTTGAATACTAAAAAGAACAAGCATTATCCAATGTGTCAATGATATAAAGTGGACTTATATTTGTACCAATGCCTAATTTTGTCAAGTTATATGTAGAGGATTATTAAGTTACATTTTATATAGCCAAGTAACAAATGGTGCACTACTTCTGATGCCTCAAGTTCTAAAAGTGCCCATTTATCTAACAATAAATGTCAATTAATGATAGAAATAAGATCCCAATCCAACCATTAATAAACCAACACTATATTCTACTAGAGCTTTTGTGCCCGAAGAGTTTAGTTTTTACAAAAGAAAACTGAAAGTAAAGACAGCATAGGGTGAGGTTCCCTCGCATCTTGTAGATAATAAGGTCGGCTTTAATGGGATAAAGACCATGTAATATGTATCATAAAGGTCAAAGTATTACTCAAAAGAATAGTTAAGACAATGGCCACGAGAGACGCAACAAAGACCATGCTAAAGGTTTGAATTTTATTGGTGCTTTTTAACCCAGCCCTCATCCTGAAATATTCTAAATCTACTTCCAAGTAACCTACAAATAGTCAAAAACACACATGTCAGTGGAGCTTTGAGTATCCTCGCAATAAAGAAGAAAATAAAAATAGACAATAAAGAATCTAAATAGACAAAGAAAAAAAATCATAAGGATCTAAATAATTAAGAAAGAAGTAAATAAGGATCTAAATTCATAAGAATGTAAAAACTTTAAATCTGCAACAAAGAAAATAAAATAGACAACAAAGAATCTAAATAATTCATAAGGATATATCCTATCAATGGAGATTTGAGTATCCTCACAAAGAATCTAAATACAAATCTAGTCAAATGTAGAGCTGCAAAAATTAAATAAACAAATGAGGGGAAAATTGAATCAAATTTTTCCAGTAGAAATTGAGCATCCAACTTGATTACAAAAGAAATAAACCAGTGAAGTTACCTTGCACAACCTCACCTTCGTACTTGATGTAGGACAAGTCAAGATCCTCCGTTGGGGTCATCGCACACCTTTTCGCCATCATTGGAGATCTCAAAACATGGATGATCCTTCTCTTTCAGCTTCCTAACTGAATTCAAATTAAAATTACAGAGAAAAAAAAGTGAATCCAAACTGCAATAAGAAGAAAGCACAAAAACAAGAAACTAAAGTTGCAATTAATGAACGCAAACCTAATACAGTGCGACATGGATCCATGCCCCTTCCTGCGTCTCATCGTGGAATCCCTAGCGCTTAAACTTCCCTCTCCGACAAAACCCCCACCTCTCTCCAGCGTCCACCCCTCCACCACCCCATGCTTCTGCAAAATCCGCATCAACACCTTCCCCTCCCACACCGCCCTCCTCCCCCTCTCCTCGGCGGCCGCACCCG